TTTGTCGACCCTTGAAAAGCTAACCAGGAATCAAATGTCGGGACATATTATAGGGTCATGGCTCGGCACGTTGTAAAGTTGCAACCCGTCAAAAAGTGTCGCCAATTTCAAAGGCGTGCCATCAACAAGGCGTGCCCTTTATCAAACGATGTGCCAATGAAAAGGCGTGCCAGTTGCTCGGTGCGTCAAAGCCGCGCACTTTATCAAACGATGTGCCATGAAAAGGCGTTGCCAGTTTGTCGGGCGTCAAGAGGCGCGCGCATGAGCGGTTGGCGCCTCGCTATAAGAAGAGGCTGAGGCTGAGGCAAAAACACCTGTGAGAGATATTCTGAGAGAGATTTCTGAGAGAGATCTTGTATAACACTCTGTTGCCCAAAAAATGGCTTCATCGTCTCCCGCGGGCTGCTACCCTCTTTCCGACCTCAACGAGTCAACGAGAGAGAGGAGCTTGCTGGTGGCACCTGGAAACTCAACCCAAGCGGCCCCGGGTTGCTCCTTGAATTTCCGATGCCGGTCGTGAGCAAACGAATGATGACAGGCAAGTCGGATGTGGAGGCACAATCTGCAGCTATTACTCCTGCAGGCCATGTTGTGCGAAAGCTATGACGAGTCACAAACTTGTCGAACGGCTGCAGATGTAGGACAAATGAGGTGCAGCATTTAAACTCCCAGCTGGCTCTGCTCCAACGCAGTATAAGGATGCGCGGCAGAGAATAAGCGTGCTAAGGGCAGAAAATAAGGAGCTGAAGCGGAAGGCCACCGTTATGTTCCGATTGGAGGGCCGCCATATGTGCAGTGGAGGAGCAGGAGTAGTGATCGATGCCAGTGCGAGTGGGAAACACGGAGGTAATTACCGGCAAGGGCCACTCAGGACGGAGGCAAGAGAAGAGGAGCCGCGGCGAGAGTAGAAGAAAAATCCTGCCTGTGGATGTGGTTGTTTTGTGTGTTTTTTTTTTTTTTTTTTTTTTTTTTTTTTTTTGGGGTTAAATGCTGATCGGGGTTGATCCCGGCATGAAAAAAAATGACCAAGTTTGTGGAATGAACCGAGGTGGGTGTGAATGGTTTTTTTTTTTTTTTTTTGAAAATAATAATAATCAATAATAATAAAAAATAAACGAAGTGGTGGATCAGCAAGAGTTGTGAATCAGCAAGATTTTTTTTTTTTTTTGAAACATAAAATAAGAAAGAAAAAAAAAAAATAATAATAATAATGAAATTGGAAAGCAAACGTATGAGCAGAGAAGGGACAAACTCAGGTGGATGGCATGATAAAAAAAAAAAAAAAAAGGCAAAGAAATAAAAAAAGAGAAAAATGCAAAGTGGAGACAAATTGAGTGGAATTCGGTGGAAAGAAGTGGAAATCAGGATTATTATAATTGCTTTGGCTAGTGGTTAGGCGTCCACCAGCACTATTCACTTCAAAAATGTGGAATGGTGAGCAATGTGTATGAAATGTGCTCTCTCTTGTCAGGCATAGCTTGACAGGAGAACAACTACACAACAGCACTAGTTCTCTCTGTCGTGGTGTTCATGGGCAGGGGTGAAAAATAGATTTCAAAGGGAGAGCTTTTCTGAGGGAGGAGAACAACTCACAGGCAACACACACTCACACACAAAAAAACACACACATACAGCAGCAGCTGAGAAGAAGAACCAAGAGCCATCACCATGGTGACTGCACAGCCAAGCCACTGCAGCCCATAGCTCTGACCACCACGACTCACTGGAACAGCAGAGGACCAAGCAGCTGGATCTGCTGGGCTGTTGCAGGGGTCGTTGTCATTGTCGATGTCCTCGATCAAAACAGGGCTCTTGTAGATGCCCCTGATATGGTGCGTACCCAAATGAATTTCAAGAGGCTTTCACTCACCGATATCACGATTGACATTAAAAGGGTTCCAAAGAAGAAGACTCTGGTTGCAGCCATGGATGCTGCTGATGTCAAGAACAAATGGGAGAACAGTTCTTGGGGCAGGAAGCGTATTGTGCAGAAGAGAAGGGTTGACCCAGATGAAGATTTGGATGCCCGGAACTGGAATGTGGATAAATCAAAGAAAATGTTGGAAGAGACAGGAAACTGAAGGTATGTGTAGAGGTCCGGCGGGCGGCCAAGGCGAGGCTGCCGCCCGCCGGTGAAGCAGAATTATTCGATTCTAAACCTGCTCTGATACCATGTTAAATTTGATGTATAAAGAGAAATAGAAAATTGTATTATTGATTGATATTAGATCTGATACATTGATATGTTATATTACAAAGCAGAGTAGCTCATTATATAGGAGAGAGTTTGGGTAGTAGGTGAGGAGTAGGTGAGGGTAAATTGGTGGTAGGTGTAATAGGTGTGGTAGTAGGTGGTGGTAGGTGTAGGTAAATTCTAACACAAAATATATGTATAACCAAACAAAACCAAACCAAGTCTTAAGTCCCATGAAATGGGGTTGGCTGCATGAATCTCTCTTCTCCACTCAACGTCTTAAGTCCCATGAAATGGGGTTGGCTGCATGAATCTCTCTTCTCCACTCAACTCTATCCAAGGCCGTTTCATTAGTCAAATTAAGGAGATTCATATCTCTATTTACTACACTAGTCTACGTCAATCTAGGTATACCCCTTCCCCTAACACTGCCGTCTCCCATCACTGTATTGCATCTCTCTTCTCTATTGCCTTTGTTGGTCTCCGTTGTATATGACCAAACCATTTCAATTTATTATCTCTCAATTTATCTTCTATTGGTACTATTCTTACCCATTCTCGAATATACGCATTCCTAACTATGCCTTTTCTAGTCTTGCTACACATCCACCTTAGCATCCTCATCTCAGCAGCACCCATCTTATCTACATGTTGTTTTTTGGTTACCCAACATTTTATCTCATACAACGTTGTTGATTTAATAGACGTTCTATAGAGCTTTATTTTTAGTCTAATGGGTACTCATTTATTGCACAATACTCCAGACGCACTTCTTCACTTAAGCCACTTCACTTTAATTCTGTAGACCACATCTGTTCCAATCTCCCCAGTTGTTGAGATAATCGATCCAATCTCCCCTCCTTAATTTTGTGTATCTATATATACGCGTGAAGTGAAAGTGAGTGAAATGATTTTACTGCGATAGTGGACTCAATGCCCAAACGAATGGAATGAAGAACTGGTAGCAGCGAGCTAAACATCTGTGAGAAGAATGTTATTGTGATTCTGGGTGTGTTCATATGCTTAGCAATGGTAGTAGGTTGTGGTGTGTGGTGGATGATGATGTAGGATGTTTGGTGGTGGCAATCCTGTTGCTATGTGTGGCTGTATGGCGTGGTTAGAGGTAGTCCGGGAAGATGGCGGGAACTTCATTGGCCTGAGATCATCGGAGGTGGAGAGGAGGAGGTCAAGGCAAGCTTGGAGAGGGAGAGGTTGGCAGTGATAGACCTTGAACACTAATGTAGAGTGTGAGAAAAGGTGTTTAAACATGAGACTTGGTTGTGTTGTTGTTGTGTTTCGCTGCATGTACGATACGTTATATAGGCCACAGGAGTATTAGAGCCCAAGCAAACTATTGGAGCCCAGAAGTGATATAAGCCCTTTTGCCGTCTGTGTCTTGACGGCAGACGGAGAGCAACGTTTCATGGCAAACGGAAAGTAACGTTTCGTATATGCATCAGATGACATGAATATAAGGTTGTCGTTGCCTCTTTCCCAAGCTTAGTCGAGGTGGAGTTGTCGTAGCAAGAAGACAACCATCTCGACGATCCCATGACCTCAGCCGTCAGTCCAGTATCCTTTGATGATCCCGGGCAGTAGTGCCTGGGTCCTGCTCCCAACCCAGGCATCTAAGTAGGTGAATGGGCTAGGGCCCACCTTAATGTTTAGGAGAGCCAGGGGCTCGTTTCCAAGTGATCAAATAGGAGAATGGGCCGCAGGCTTATCTCAATGTTTAGGAGAGGAGCTCGCTTCTAAACGACCAAGTAGGAGAATGGGCCGTAGACCTATCGCAATATTTAGGAGAGTTAGTATTTATCAAACCAAGTCCAAGTGAATTGGGGGTTGATTGTATTGTTGTTTGGTCTTGGAGTGAGGTATGAAGGACCATGGGCCCTGCGGGGCCATGGTGTTGCCTGTTGCAGGCCTCTTCATATTTAGATATATTTGGGCTTATATGTATGCTTCCACTTAGGCTAAGCATATAGTCTTGGTTTTGCGTACTGCCTTGGCACATGGCGCCCGTAGGGCTCGCCATGTATCAAACATACGACATGCGTGCGTGGTGCCTAATTGGTCTGCCACGTTGGTGGGTTTTTGGTGATGTGATACCTGTAGGGTTTGTCATGTATTGGGCTTAATACAAGTACCCACAATATGGGTGGTGAAAATAAACAGAGGTGAGAGAGAGAGAGAGGAGGAAGGGTAGGGGAAGGGGATGTTTGGTTGTGGTGATAGGAATATTGAGGAGTGTTTGGTTATAATGATAATGGATATAATATGTGTGTTTGGTTATGTTTTCAAGGGTTCTTGCGATATTTAAACACTTAAAAATGCTGATATCATGATTTTTTGTTAGTTGTTAGACGGTAAGATAACGGAGGGGAGGTCTATGTATTTGTTAGAAATTTTAGCGCTCTTTATTCTTATGTTTTAAGAGATGAGTTGCCAATCCTTTGAGCCCCCATTGTTCAATGAAAACAGAAGTAACAAAAAGTAAAACAATTATATCAACCACAACAACAGCAAAAAATAAATAATAATAATTTACTTTTACTCTTGGAGAATAATCCTGCTGCTAAAGATATTGAACTTTCCTTGTATGCTTCATGAACGCACATTGACAAGCACATTTCTTACCATGTTATATTTTTGTTTAATTAACTAATCCAGAAACCCATATTGAAACTATTTGTTGAACATTCAAATTTTCTACTGATCCTCTTGCTTGAGTTTGACTAATTTCTAGATAACAACATCATGTACATTTTTTATTTGTTTCAGTCTTCGGGTACTGACTAACATAAGAGTTTATTTCTTAAATTATTTCCCACTAACTTCTTTTCTTTTTCGTTACTTGCAGTCTGTGGCTTTAACTGCTGCTCCCTTCTTTGTCATTGCGGCTATCTGGTTTGTGGTCTTTGGACTGTGCTTATCTTTCATCTGTCTCTGCTATTTCTGTTGTAGAAGGGAGCCTTATGGCTATTCTCGAACAGCTTATGCCCTCTCTCTTATTTTCCTCGTACTCTTCACCGTTGCTGCAATGTATACTCTCTCTCTCTCTCTCCCCCCACTATTTCTGTTCACTTGATTCTTTCTGACCAAGCTATTCATGTTATTTTTTATTTCAGAGTTGGATGTGTTGTTCTGTACACTGGACAGGGGAAGTTTCATGATATATTACAAAAACATATTGGACTATGTTGTAAAGCGAAGCCGAATACCACTGTGGGAGAACTTACGATGGTTTCAGGATATCTTAGTGCAGCTAAGCAGTCGTGAGTAGAATCAAGTTTTTCTGGCTTCTAATGTCCAAAACCGAATTTTGATCGTTGAACCAAGACAACTCTTCTCTAAGCAACCATTGCCTGAGAAACGAAAATTCAGGAGATAAAAAACTGCTTTTGGATTATGTGTAAATGACAAATTTGAGAACTTTCTTTTGTGCTTTTTGTCGTTCTTTTATCTTAATTATTGATATGAAAAGGAAGTTCTAATACTTTTTTTGAGAAGACTGGCTCTTAGCATACTTTGCGGAGTTAATGCTGTTTGATA